GAATCGCTCCCAGCTTCTGCCTGTCCAAGCCTTCAGTCTTTTCTCTAGGCAAAGGCCAGCTCCAAAGGAGTTAAAGGTCAGGTGCTCCCTCCCCCTCCCAGGGGAGCTGTTGCAGGCGATGATGATGGGATTACAGTATTCCTAATCCTACCAGGCTTCAGAATAGTTCCCCGCCACCTCCAGCCCTTTCCCTGTTCATCATTGACCAACACTGGGCACTCAAAATGTGTTTGGAACATGGGCAAGGACTTGAATCCTCATTCTAGGGGGCTTCATTCTAGGGGTTTGGGGATCCTGAAGGGGAAAGCAGCACCAAATACCAGGGCTGGATTCTGTGCAACAGCTTTTATAGGAGGAATGGGCTTTTCTTCTAGAGCTTTGGGATTTAGCATGAACAGCTTCAGTGACTGATTGGGACTTGTGTGTGTGTGTGTGTGTGTGTGTGTGTGTCTGTGTGTCTGTGTGTCTGTGTGTCTGTGTGTCTGTGTCTGTGTCTGTGTTAGGGATTCCTGAGGGGAGGTCAAGGGACAGGGTATGGGGCCCATCACTACCTATCACTGCCCATGTCCAGATCCTAGAGCTCAAATTCTAGCTCCCAAAGTTTATTCTCATCTCCCTAGTCCTCTCTGAATTCAGGTGAGGCACAGGGGAGATGACCCTCTGGCCAGGTCTAAGACACCTTTCCTCCTCACCCTGACTATCCCATCTGGGAGAAGGAGCCAGGCTTTTATACCACCATTATTACGGATACTCAGCTCTTCTCACCCTCTCCCCACACTGAGATCCTTCAGGGGAAATGGGATAGCATGCCCTGGAACCTTGCCCAAGCCAGGGGTATCATCAGTAGGGTTTTCAGCCCAAATTTTGAGTCCAGGGTCTCTGACCCAGGCCTGGTAGCACCTGCTGAAGGATTTATGACCCCGGCTCCTCTCCCAGTAACAACTCCTGGATTCTAAGATCTGGGCCTTGGACACTTGACCCTTTGGAAAGGTTCTGCCATAGTTGTGGACCCCAGGCCTGGCCTGGGCTGCATCCTCGGCAGGATTTACAGCCTGGCCTGGGCAGGCAGCTCCCAGCGGCCCTGGCGTCATGTTGAGTCTGTCCCATTATATGGACAGTTGAGTTTAATAGTCACTGTGTGTTCAGAGCCCCTGGTACAGAGCTGTGCACGGCACGGCCCAACACCCCCTCCGTTCTTGCCACCACCCGCCCGATCCCCAGCCACCCGGCCCATCCACACAGTAAATTAAAAATATGAATCACGTCTCCCCGCTGCCTCCCCAAACGCTCATCTTGTCAGCCTCTGTGTTCTCTTCATTTGTATTACCTTAATTTAATGTTAATTATGGTCTTCATTTACAAGGAACAAGCAACCCGAGCCAACTCCCCTCCTGCCAGGGACCCTCCCTAGCTCCCTGCCCACCCCCTCAGCCCCTACCTCTATCCTCTCCTGCCAGGTGCCCTACCCACTTCTTACCCCCATTCCCGAGGGAGGACACTCCTACCACATCCCCTACGTGGGAAGGGAAGACTGGGGGAACTGGAGGTAGGGAAGATACTAAGAGAGTAAAAGGACACGGTATGATTTGGGACTTTAGGGGTGCTGGGCAAAGGAGCATAGATGGGGGAAGGCCATGAGGTATAGTCCCAAAGTCTCCCTATGAACAGAGTCTGAACTGGTGACAGAAGGAGGCCACCACCTCATTACTAGCCAGGACCACTGTCTCTGCTCCACCCAAAGGACTTTGATGGGTCATCACTATGGATATTCTGAAAGGGAATTTGCTCTCCCCCTTTACCTGGGTCCCCTGATCCTCTCCCTGAGAGGAAGTCCTTCTTCTCATCTTGCCTAAACCCTTCCTGCTGCAGGACATTCAGGTGTCTGCTGGCCCCACAGAAAGGGACTGCAACTTGCCTCCCTCACATTGCAGAAAAGGCAGAACCCAATGGGTACTCCCTCTGCTTCCCCACAGAGGCATGTAACCTTGACCTCTATGGGCCTAGACCCCCTGGGCCTTGATCCCTAGGCTCCTCCAATTGTGGCACAGAAGAGATAGCCTCTTGTTCCAGACTTAACCCCTGCCCTACCTCCTACTGGAGCTCTCTGAAACAAAAAGCCCCATTCCCTGTGCTCAGAGAGCTTTAAAACCCTTCTGTGTTGCTGTCTCTGTGTATGTGATTGTCCCACTTTGCCTTGGGGAAACACACACACCCAGTGACCGACTTAGACAAGGAGCTGGCTCAGTGAATGCTGATCACACAAGTCTGGGTCACCCGCATTCACATGGACGTTAATGACAAAGACACCCCCATCTCACTACCACTGTGTGTGTGTGTGTGTGTGTGTGTAGGGAGAGAGAGAGAAGAGAGAAAGAAAAGGAGGGAGAAAGAGAGAGAGAGAAAGAGAGAGAGAGAGAGAGATTGAGATTGCATGTCCTGCAGTTGGGAATATAATGGTGACAGATGATGATGCCGAGTGAGCGAGTTGTTGGGGTAGAGGAGAGAGAGGTGTGGCAGACCCTCCATTCCTGGGTTTTTGTGTGGCCTACACCCTCCTACCGCAACCCCCCATCCCGCCCCACGGATGCCAGCGGTTCCACGGTCGTGGACACGGACACAGACGCGGGGGAAGTGATGACAAATGCCCGTTATCAGCGAACGAGGCCGATGACGAATGTGCGGGCTCCGCGCGGCCCCATTAGGCTGTAATAACCGGAGATGGATGGCCCGGCCCCCCCAGCTCCCCTCCCAGCCTCCTCCGCCCAATGCCCGCCCCCCCAGTCCCTGTCCCCTCCGAAAGGTGCCCCCCTTCCCCGAGCCCGGCGCTCCGCCCACCCCCTTCCCCCAATTAGGCTGTAATAACCAGAGATGGATGGCCTGCTCCCCCTCCCCCAAATCGACTCTGGCTCAGCTAGAGGGAGGGGGAAGGGGAGATGCGACATCGCCAATCACAGATGGCTGGGGGAGGGGGTTTGGGGGGGCACATAGAGGGAGACAAGGAGACAGACTGAGAGAGGGAGGGGGAGAGACAGAGAAGAGACAAAAACCAGCAAAGGTTGGGGAGGGGGTTGTCTAACAGTTCACATAGGCGCGCGCGCACACACACACACACACACACACACACACACACACACACACACACCCGCACACATGAACATGCTGACCTCCCCGTCCCAAGCCCCAGGATGCTGTCTTGGGGTCTTCCCCCACCCCCATCCCTGAAGCCTTCTCCCGGCTCCAGGGGAGGAGGAGTCTGGGTGAGAGCCCCGCCCTTTGTTTCCCTTGACACCAACACCCCATCCCACTGGAATGAGTCTCGGGTCCAACTCCAGGCTAAATGAGGTTGAGCAGGAAAAGGGCTGGAATTCTGAGGTAAGCTTCTAGGGACAGGGGTCTGTTGTGACCCCTCTCTGAGCAAGGGCCTGGGTCCTAGAGGGTTAGGAATAGATTAGACGATCCCTCAGGGGTTATTCGACCTTTGTCCTCCAAGCTGGAAGGCATCAGGTCTAGCCCTAGACTGCAGACAAGCCACGGTTTACCCTCCAGGGTTTACAGAACTTGGGGGGAGGGAACGGGCAGTACTCTCAGGGCAACCCACATCTAACTCCCATATGTCAAAATACTTTAAATTTAATCTGACCTCCTCCTCATGCCTCAAGAACACAAGTCCCCTCCAGTTTTCCAGTTCTGAGAGCCACTGTTCCTGGAGGGGATCTGGGGAACATCCCAGAAACCCCTACCTACTCCAGTGCTAAGGTCTGAGGCAAAGCAGAAGATACTGAAGGAAGAAAGAGAAGACATCTGTACCTCCTCCCCCAATAGGTGGGTCTGATTAATGCAGGGGTGGAAGGATGGGGGGGGGGGTGTTACCTGAACAAGCCTGGTTAATGGACAACAGCCAGGTTCCCCCTCCCAGCCCACCCCCTATTCCCTAGTGCTATTGACCTGTCATTAGTTATCCCATATCCAAGGTCACCAGGGCTGGTCCAGCCATAAATCACCTGCGGAGGGGTGTGCTGGGGGGTGGGGGGCTGAGAGTGAAGGTGACAGGCACATGAGAGCTTCAGGGATATTGGCCCAGACCACTGGCCTGGCCCAGAATAGAGGGGGCAAGGGGTCCTCCTTTCCACAACAGGAGCGGGAACCCCAAACAGGCCCCCATTGATGCCCTATACAGCTCTTCCCTACCCCCATGTCTTCTCTCTTTCCTCTCCCTGCCTTTCTCCTCTCTTCCTCTGCTTTCTTCTCTCTATCCTTGGCTCTCTTTATCCTCATAAACCATCAGAAGCTAGTCTATGTCACATACCCCCACAGTAAACGTGTTTTTTGGGGGGAGAGGAAGGGGCAGAAAGGAACCTTGAAGACTCAGGAAGGGGGAGGTGACTGGGCCTGGCTTCTGTAGTCAAGCCTTCCTTGATCCCTGAGCAGTGGGAAACAGGGTCAGCACTCCCACACACAAACGAGGAAACTGAGGCTAAGAACGTGGGAGTCTGGGTAAGAGAGCCGCTTTCTCCTGTTCATAACCTCCAGTTCCTGCTCTTCTGTACCCATTCTTTCTTTCCTGTCCCCCTTGTGCCGGGGTCCTCCATCTAAGAGTCTCTCTAAAGTCTCGAAATAGAAGGGTGCCTCACTGCAGTTCAGAGTTAGTGTTAGAGACCGGAACACCCCTCACGCCAGAAGGGATAGAAAGTCACCCCCACCTCTGGTAGAAAAACTACCCCAGCTCTGGGCCAGAAGCTAGTGTCTTCTTTGGTCCTTGGGTGCCCTCTGCTGGCGGCTCCCTGAGATGCAGCTGCCCTTTCCCCTCCCCAAATCAAGGGATGGGAAAGGGTGTCCCCTGAAAAAGCCACCAACACACCTTGCTTTAAATAGAATACACCGTGATCCTGTGTCACATCTTTTGCCATGCCCACCTAAACCTCGTTTTCCCGTCCAATACTTCCTGGCCCTGGGGTGGGAGGGACCTTCAGTATTTCCAGGCCTAAGAACAAGAGGGGCAGTGTTTTCCTTGGGAATTTATTTTCCAAATAAAAACAGCACCATGGTGGCCCCCAGGAATGTTCCCTTCTCTTCGGGAAAACCCTGGTGGCCCACCTTCCGTGGGCACTTCTGTGAGAGGCTGAAGAGATCCCAGACTACCTGTGCCTCTTGGGGTGGGGCAAGCAGCCCCCTCCTCCAAGTTCTTGGAGCAGGTAGTCACTGGAGTGGAGAACCCAGGACCTTAACCCTGAGGTGAGGAAGTCTGGGCTGGGGTACTCAGCATGTGAGCACTGGGGTTCCTTGAGAGTAAAATATGGCCAGCATGTCCCTGGGCAAAGTCCTGAGAGTGACCCAGAGTTCTCCCCCCATAAGGCAGATCAGGAAGAAAACAGGAGCTGGTCCTTGGTATGCTGGGAATCAGGATGCTTAAGTTTCTCGTGTTGGAGGTAGCCCCAGGCCAGCTGGGGTGACCTGAGAGTAAGTTGTCTCCCATCTGTGAAACGGGCAGTGAAAAACAATCTGGAGAGACAATTCTGACTTTAGAAGGTCAGAATGCTTTGGTGCTATAAAGTGCTGTGTCCCACTGTTCCCTGAGGTCTGGCAGGGGCCTCCGTTCATGGGATGCCAGGGTGGTCAAGAGAAGTAGTGGCCTCCTCCAGATCCTCTTCATCGCCCCTGATGTCCTCCTCCAGCCACCTCCACATCTGTTCCAACAGGGCCTCTGCTGCTGGGGTGTCCTCCTGTCCCGGGTGAGCAGACCCAGTAAGAAGAGCTCACATATGTAGAGACTGTTGGTCTCTAGCTCCCACCAAGGCCAGGACTCACCCCCGTTTCCCTTCACCCTAGAAGATCTGGGTCCACTCCTCTTCTGCCCCCATCAGTGCCCTAAGGAGAGGGGACCATGAGGTGGCAGAGAGTCGCCTGGGACACTAAAGGGCCTGATTGGCTCAGTCACCTCAGGACATGTCACTAGCAGGTTCTGAACCTAGATCTCCCTGATGCTAAGGCCAGACTTCTACCCAATACCACAGTATCTCTCATATGAGGGTTGGAGTGGGAGAGGAGTGAGAGAGAGCCCCAAAAGGTACCTGTGGGGTGTTCCACGCCAGCCGGAGCGCATTTCTCAAAGTCTTTCTGAAAACATAAAGTCCTTCATTGCTGCTGAGTCCACTGGGGTCAAAACAGATTCCCTGGAGGGGAAAAGGGGGTAGGAACAGAGCTCAGGAGGCGAAAATGAAAGAGAGAGGCAGCGGTCTCCCAAATCTTCCCTTCTTCCTGGCCAATCAGCTCCCCCTCCCCCAAAACCAGGGTTCCAAGAGCCTCCAGATGGGGAAGCATCTGTACCTGGTGGGTATAAAGCAGGCCTGAGTCCACTTCCTCAAGCTGCAAGCCGTGGTGTTGGCAGAATTGCAGGAAGCTGAGAATCTCCAGGAGGCACTTCAGTCTGTCCAGCTGCTGACCTGCTGGTGGCTGCCCCACAGCTGGGGTGCAGGAGAGAAAGCTGACCATGGGCAGAGGAACCCCGTTTCTTCTTGTTCCCAGGCTAAGCGACTCAAGGGGCAACCACCAAGGAGGCCCAGCCATTCAAAGAGTGTGTGCTCGTACAGAGATATACCCTTCCTGAAACTGTACCCGCTTTCTGAGTCCACAGGAGAATTATGGGAGGAAGTGGCCTAAGTCAAGAGACCCAGATGTCACTGACTCACAGTGGTTTTTCTCATCTACCAGGCAGGGTAGAAACAGTAGGGAGAGCATTGGGCTCGGAGTTAAAGACAAATCTGAGTTCAGGATCTGCCATCCGCTAATCCTGGTACCTGGAACAAATCTCCCTACCTCCTGTGATCCTCATTCATTAAATGGAAATGTTTATATTTGTTGTGAGGAACGAATGAACTACTGTGGTTTGCCAACCTCAAAGTATACATCTGTAAGGATCAATAAACATTTCGTAAACACCTGAGGTGCTATTATAAGATCACACAGTTGGTCAGAGACAAAGCTGTGACTCAAACCCATGTTCCGTGACTTCCCATCCCAATGCTTCTATACCAGATTCTCTATAGGGTCCCTAGGTCTGTGACTATGATTTGAAAAATAAGGAAAAAGTTTCTCTGGAAAGAAGGAAAAAACTGAGTAAGCGGATCGCAGGACAAACATCCCTGGTCTCACCCTCTTCAGGCTCATAAGCCTTGTGCACTGTGGGCCTCCTGCTAGACTTTCTACCTTAACATTCCATCCTCCAGAAAGGGGCCCGTGGGATGAGAAGGAAGAGATTTACAGGGTAGAGGGGCTGATAGCCTGGATTGTGTGACAGCCAGTTCTGTGTGCAGCATTTGGGCCAGGTGTCACCCAACTCCCCATGTTCTCAAAGGCTCTGCTAGATGGTATTGCTAGAGGTCGAAGGACCTCAGGCCTAAAACGGAGGCTGCTGTGTGACTGGGCTCTCAGGAAAGAGGCTATGGTCACAGTACTCCTGCCCCCTCCCCTCCGTGGGCTCTGAGAACAATTAGAAACTTCCCCCCAGGAAAGCAGCCTAGGTCTACACCCTAGGGTCTTCAACTCCTAGTCCCAAAGGTTTTTCTCATCCACATGCTGCCTCCTTGGCTACTCCCTAGACGCCCTGCTCCTCTCTCCCCTCCTCCCCAAGCCTCCAGCGTCCCCTTCCCCCCTCCCCCTTACTTAGAACTCCAGGGTCCTCCATAAGGTAGAGCAGAGAGCCCTGGCGGTCATACAGGACTGCGTAGGGTACCAGAAGTCCCGGCCCCGGGGGAAGGAATAGGAAGTGATGAAGCATCTTCTGCCAGTCGGAGACCACAGGCACCTGGGAGAACGAAGAGGAACCCGGAGGGGTTCAGGGAGAGATAAGAAATCAATGTCCCATGGCAAGGGTCCCCGAACCGACCCCAGGACAGGGGAAAGAACTGAGGTGGGAGTGGAACAAGATTTGAGGCAGAACGCAAGCCTGAGAGGAATGGGGAGGTGTCCCTCTTCCCCAACCTCAAAGCATTTTTCTCCAACCTGGGGCAGCAGGGAGCCCTGGGTGGCTCTGCTCCAGGCAGGGGCGGAGGAGCAGGAGCATTTAGATGGGAGCCTTAATCACCAGCCTCACCAGCCGCTCCGACCCTAATTACAAGCGCTGCCCACCCCATCTATCCCCTCCCTACCGGGGGGGGGGGGGGGCCCGGGGGCCCCAAGGGGGCGCCCCCCGGGGGGGTGCAGGATATAAGGCAACGCTTAATATTCATAATTGGGTTAAGAAGTCAATCACAGCCGCATTCCCGGGGGGGTGGCTAGAGAGTAGAGGAGGGGGACAGTGAGACGGAGGAGAGGGCAGACAGTGCTTCCACCACCCCCCTTCCCCACCCTCTCCTCCCCTCCCTTGCGCCGGTGCAAGGAGGAAAATGAATGTGAATTTATCATGATTAGGCAAATCCGGCAGGGGCGCGATTCCGGGGGAGGCTAAAAAGATGAATTTCAGCGATAAAGTTAAATAAGGACGGAGCGCCCCCCCCCCTCTATCCCCCTCCGCTGATCGCTCTTCCCACAATTTATGAGCCGATTAGGCGGAGGCTGCAAGTTCCTGCAACTTCGCTAAACGCGGCCCCGCTGTTCCCAGCAAATTAATTAACCGCGGGCTGCGGTTGGCAACGGTAAAGGAGGAGCCTGAGCGGCAGCCTCCTGCCCACCCCCACCCCCACATGCTCCGCCTCGTTCCCCACCCCCACGCCCTCTCGGTAGCTGTTCCTCCTGGAGCTCCCTTCCCAACTCTCCCCTCCGGACTCATACACACTCAGGCAGTCCATACATCACCCACCAGCCGCCTTGCCCTTCAACACCCAGAGACCCCTCCCCTCCAGGCGTTACTGTAGTACCTACCATCCACCCATGCCCTGCCCAGACTTCAGCTGTAACCTCTCCTGGCCTCAGGGGACAGCCATACACACAGGCACACTCTGGCACATGTTTGCCCACATGTACAGACATGCACACGCTTAAAAATATACACACACATTGGCATCCATAATTACAAAATTCCATAGCTGGCAGGCCTTCAGAGATCATCTAGTCCTACTTTCTCATTTTGCAGATAAGGGAAAATGAGGCCCAGGGAAGGAAAGTGTTTTCTGACCAAGCCTAATCCTCTCCTCTCCCACTCTGCCATTGGGCTGCTGACCTACCTCAACACTGCGCTGAAAGTGCTCACTTCAGAGTGGCCTGTGATCGTGTCAATGCCAAATCTAATGCCCTTTTCTCAATCTTGGTCCTTCTTGACCTCTGTGTCGGATTTGAGGCCTTTGGTGGCCCCCCCTCCTCCCAAATGCTCTTTGCTTTCTGGGTATTGGTGGCATGGCCCTGCCTGCTCCTTCTTCAGTTCCTGGGCTGAACTGCCATCGGGGTCACACTGCTAAATGGGTACACCCTAAAGCTCTATCGGGGCTCTGTTCTCATTTCTCCGCATCCTCTCACTTGGGCAATGCATCAGCTCCCATGGGTTTAATTATCATCACCATGCAGATGACTCCCATGGGTATAGATCCACTTGCCTACTGGATATTTCAAAGTGGATGGTCCATTGACATTCAAACTCCAAGAGTCCAAAATAGATCCAATTCTCTTTCCCTCTAAAGACATCCCTCACCCAAAACTTGTTTTGGTTGAAAGTATGGCCATCCTTCCATTCACCCGGGTTTGCAGGCCTGATTTGTCCTCCCTAACTCCTTGCTTTCAGTCACCCTACATATCCACCATGTCTCTGCATGTGTCCTACAGCCACCACTCTACTTCAGACCTGCATCACCTGTTGGCCTGACTTAGTATAATTGCCTCCAACTTGTTCTCCTGACTCCCCCACTCAAGGCTGTCCCCACTCTAATCCACCTTCCACACCACTGCTGAAGTAATTTTCCTAAAGCCCAGATTTGACCATGGCACCTCCTTACTCAATAACTCCAGGGGCTCTCTACTACCTTGAGAATCAAATATAAAGATATTTCACAATCTACCCTCGTTCTGCCCTTCTCACCACATAACTCACATAACTCACGTGCACAAACTCCAGCTCACATTGCCTTCCTTGCTGTTCCTCGAACTCGTCTCCCTCCTCTGTGCCTTTGAAGTGACCATCCCTCCCCCCTTTCCTGAAGGACGTTCCTTCTTCACTTCCACCCCTTGGAATCCTTTCTTCAAGGCTCAGCTCAGGTTCTACCTTCTTCATGAGCCCTTTCCTGCTCCCCTTCCTCTCCCCCCAGCACCTGCCAGTGCATCCTCCCTCCCCACCAAGATGACCCTGAAGGTGTCTTGTACATCTTTTACTATACCTAAATATTCGCATGTTGTCTACCCTGTTAGAAAGTAAGCTCCTTGAGGGCAGGGACCGTTTTGCTTTTGTCTTTGTATCCTCAACAACTAGTACTGGCACCCAGTAGACACTTAATAAATGCTTGTTCATTGCCTCACCCAATGCTCTATGGATACACACACCCTCTCTTACAAACACACGTATGTGTACAAAGACACACCTTCACGGGGTAAACAAAGACATGTACATACTCACAGATGTTTACCTACATACACATACATACACATGTACTCACAATGACTCACACACATACCCACATACATACAAGCAAAGATGTACATCAAAATATAGTGAAATTTGGGTCACATCCTGAAGGTCTAAGTCACCCATCCTAGACTTCTGGGTAGCTTGAAGACAACTCTTAACACAGAGTCCTCAGAGGTCATCTTACCCAGTCCCTTCTCCATACGTGGTCCCTCTCTTCCCTTGTCTCCATGTACACATGGTTAGGCCTCTCTCTGGTCATACTGTTCCTCCCCCAAAATGCTGCTCCCTTCTGTCCCCACCCCCACGCATTACAGCACAATTCTCATCCTAGGAAGCAGTGTAGTATGTTCAAACTTCAGTAGTGGGAATCCGGAAAGCTGGCTTCTAGCTCTGACCCTGCTACTGTCTGACTGTGTGACCTTGGGTAAATCACTTTCCCTCCCTAGGCTTCAGTTTTCTCCTTTGTCAAATGAAAGGGGTAGGAAGAGATAATTTAAAATTCTCTTCCAGGTTAGAGCCCCGCGTACTACTGCCAACGCCCCGAGGTCTTCTATCATTAACAGTCTGAACCACACATGGTTCTTACTCTGCCTGGTCTTTGCAGATGGATTGTAATGTGGATCTATCACTCATTGGGCAGTTAAGTGGCACAGTGGATAGAATGCCAAGCCTGGAGAGAAGATCTGAGTTCAAATTTGGCCTCAGACACTTACTAGCTGAGTGACCCTGGGCAAGTCACTGAATCCTGTTTGCCTCAGGTTTCTCATTTGTAAAATGAGCTGGAGAAGGAAATGGAAAACCACTCTAGTATCTTTGCCAAGAAAACACCAAATGGGGTGACAAAGAGCTGGATATGAGTGAAATAACTGAACAACAACATTCATCAGTCTTGGGAAACTCCTTACTCTTAAGCAAGGACTGATGCCTCTTCTCTGTCTCTCTTCTTCCCGTCACACACACACACACACACACACACACACACACACACACACACACACCCCAGCCCCACCTCTAACCTCCACATCCATCCCAAAAATTTTAGTTCCCTATTGGCAGAAACTGAGTCTGACCCTCCTCCCTTCCCTACCAGGTAGGACAGTACACATATGTTGACTGACCTCCCAGCACGCAGTTGGAGGCCTCCCCACCTCCCCTAAGAGTCAGTGGGCTGCATATCTGTAAAGCTGGCTCTTTAAGGAAGTTATGGCCCCTGATGGGTCCTCTGACCCAAGCAAAAGAAATCTTACCTTCTTCATCAGCATCTGCTCACCAGTGACACGGTCTTGAACTCGGAACCAGTGGCTGCTGAGCTGAGCAGTGACAAAGAAGTTAAGGCCCAGGGAGTAGTAGTAGAAGAGGTTGGAACCAGGGAATGCCATGCCTAGCTTCCTGCCATTCCTCTGCAGAGGGAGAGAGAAAAAGAAACAGACAGGGATGGAGGGAGAGACGAAGGGAGGGGGATATACAGAAATATCTTTATAGGCAGAGATAGAATAATGCAGTGAGGGAGAAGAGTTTGAGAATCCAAAAAGACAGAGAAAGGGGGCTACATATGTGTGTGTGTGTGTGTATGTATATATATATATGTATATATATATGCATATATATTAAATATACATACATTTATACATTTTTAAAAAATATGGACAGGGGCAACTAGGTGGTGAAGTGGATTGAGTCCTATGCCTGGAGTCAGGAAGACTCATCTTCCTGAGTTCAAATCTAGCCTCAGACACTAGCTGTGTGACTCTGGGCAAGTCACTTCACCCTGTTTGCCTCAGTTTCCTCATCTGTAAAATGGCTGGAGAAGGAAATGGCATACCACTCTAGTATCTTTGCCAAGGAAATGCCAAATGGGGTCACAAAGATTCAGACATGACTGAAAAACGACTGAACAAAAATAAATTGTCAGACAGAGAAGGCAGGAGGAGGAAGGGAAAGAGAAAGAAAGAAGAGGAACTAACTAACTGAATGAGAGATGTACAAAGTCAAAGCTACAGAGAGAAAGAAGGCTGGACCCAAAGTCGAACACCTGAGAAACCTCATCCAGGCAACAGTATGGGGCAGCAGAAAGTATACCGCGTTCGGACACAGGGCATAGGTTGGAATCCTAGACCTGCCACCTGCATGAGAATGAGCCACATTCCTTCTCTGACCCTCAGCAGCCTCCTCTATAAAATGAAATGGTTTCTGGATAATCTCCACGGTGCCTTCCAGCTTCTGAAATCCTGTAATGGGATGACTTCCTGGGAATGACCTGACATTCCTCAGGGGACCAAGGGAGAAGCGGAATCTGTCTGCATTACTCCCTGAGCCATAGTGGGATGAATGAGTGTGGAACGGGAACATGAAGAAGCAAACAGTGGTAGTTTATAACTTGTTTAGGTGATGAGAAAACTATCTTTTATAACAACTGTCTTCAAGAGGTGGCTAGGTGGTGCAGTAGATAGAGCTCCAGCCTTAGAGTCAGGAGGACCTGAGTTCAAATGTGACCTCAGACACTTGACACTTACTAACTGTGTGACCTTGGACAAGTCACTTAACCCCAGTTGCCTAAACAACAACAAAAAAAACTGTCTTCAAATCTTATTTTCCACTGGAAGCTTTTCCCAATCCCTCTTAATTCTAATACCTTCCCACTCCTACTTGCTTCCTATTTATCCTGTATATAGCTTGGTTGTATTTTTGTTTGCCTGTTGTCTCCCTTGTTAGACTGTAAGCTCCTCAAGGGCAGGGACCGTCTTTTGTTTCTTCTAGTATTCCAGGGGCTTAACAATGCCTTGACACATAGTAGGTGCTTAATAAATGGTTGTTTATTTATTGACTGGCTGGCTTAACTTGTTAGTCTTTCCTTGGTAGTCCTAACTTTTCCTGTTAGTGAGCGGTAAGAACTAGGTGGCAGAGACTTGTTTCATGTCCGACCTGGATAAATCCTGGAAGTAGACCGGTAGGTCTGGGAAAATCCTTGAACACAAGTGCCAACAGAGAAGAAAAGATTGTCACCATTCTGATCAAATAAGCTTCCAAGTCTCAGTCTCAAGAAAAGATAGCACTGGGTATCACAGGACAAGAGGGAGAGAAGGCAGCTTGGAATCAGACGGATGCCTGAGTGTAGGGCTTTGGAGCCCAGGGAAATAACTTCAGGACGGAGGCCAGAACGGAGAGGGTTGAACACTTGGCCCGCTGGCTCCACAAGACCCACCACACTCTCAAGTGCATCCTGAACCAGATTAAAATGTAACTGGGAAATATTTGACAAAAAAATAAAAAAACCTAGACAATGTTAATATGTGGTTTTCCAAGTCAATACATGGCCCGTACAGTTTAGTGGCCGCTGTTTCTGTTTGCAATTGATACGACCAGACTAGAACTTTTCAATAGACTGGATTGTAAGTGTGGAGGTCACCCAGATTTCCCCTGTACACATTTCTGATACGCTATGGTTTTGGATGAGATCTGTGACTTCATGCATGTAGGGAAATGACTGTGGGATCTTGGGCAAATAATTTCCTCATATACGTTTGCACCTATTCTGAGACTTATTGACTTAGAAAGTTGGCTGGGGGCACTGAGAGATTTAAGGGACTTGCCCAGGGTTACATGGTCAGTATGTGACAGAGGCAGGTTTTCCTATCTTGGAGGTTAGCCCCCTAGTCACTGCCCTGACTGCTTCTCGATTCATGTTAAATTCAAGCATTATTTCTGAAATAACATTTTTCCTTTTATGAATAAACATCTTTCCTTACATTCAAGATAGCTGGCTGACTCTGATGTGGTAAGGTAAAGGAATGAGAAGCTAGGTGCCACAAGCACCTTGGGGTGGCTATATTTGGATACAGACAGGGTGTGTCTAACCTGTTTACTAGCTGATTGTTAAATTTTCAATGTAAGCATTTACATCCCAGAAATCAGTAATTACTCCAAATCAGGGTTTGTCAACTGGCTAAGCTTAACAAAGTATTAGTAGTGCAGATTAAACTTAAAAGTGTGCATGCGTACACTTTTTCCCCCCAGAGAGCCCAATTGTTAAACATTTGCCAGCACACCCCTGTATGGCTCTAGCTTGAGCTCAGCAAATGCGCAGTAGACTGTAAGATAATAAGAGTAGTAACTGGCAATTATAGGGAACTTTCGGGTTTACAAAATGCCTTCCATCTATCTCTCATTTGAGCCCAGGACTTCTCTGGATGGAAGGGTTCCTAACCCTTCGAGGGTAGCATCTGGGGCCTTAATTAGGAGGAATGACCCTAGCCAGATTCGGTCCTGGAACACAGCCTGTAGTGTGGATTCCCTTTTGCAAGTTGGGATCAGACACTTCATAGGCAGGGCTAGGAGCAGAAAGTGCCTGGGAGGGAGAACACTGCAGTTAGGACTGAGCAGTTGAGCAGGGAAAGGATGGCAGATTTCCAATAAGAGGTAAGGGCATCTGGTCTGGCTAGGTAAGCCAGCCCCTAGGGACCCCCAGAGAAGCTCACCATAGTTAGGAAGGCCACACGCAGAGCCGGGTGTTCCTGGCTGCCAGCATTCATGGTAAGGCCACCAGTGGTCAAGGCCAGGCCAGAGTCGAGCAGGGAGAAACTGTGATTGTCACTGTCCAGGAAGACGCATCGAAACCATTCCAAAAGCATGCAGCCTGCCTCTCTCACTTGGCGCCCATAGCTATCTTCCACAGAGGGTTTCAGGGAACTGACCCAACACTCCTGACCTAGTTTTAGCTTTTGACTGTCCGTCTTGCAGTCTCCCCCACTTAAACTGGCCCTACTGTCCATTGGTCTATCCTCACCCTCTCCTGCTTCCTCTCCAGGTCCCTCTGAGGATACCCCTCCCTGCTCCCTTCCCTGGAGTTCAGCCCCTAAGTCCAAGGGCTCTCCCTGCGCCCCAGGGGTTATTACTGTTGGATCTTTGCCCATCACCACTTCCACAGGAATGGGAGGGGCCCTTGGAGTCTCAGGTACCTCCCTCTGTAACACAGAGGAGTCAGCAGGCAAGGTCCAGGGTTTATCCCGAACCCAGGGCAGAGTGGTAGGAACAAGACCTAGTCTAGAGTTTGGGTTCAGACTGGGAGTCCCTGCCCAGGGGTGTGCCTGACCCCAGTACTTCTCAGGTGCAGGGTCTCCCCTCAGTGGCTTCCGGGGCTCCAAGAAGATGGACCGGCTGGTACCCAAGCTGAACGGTAAAGTAGATGTGAGGCTCAGGGCCTTAGACCCAAAGGGGCATGAGCTGACCTCTTCCTTATCCTGGACCTGTGAACTGGGGCTCCCAGGAAGTGAGGGATTGGGCAAGTGCGGACCAAGAGTGCTCTCAGTAACTGGGGTCCGAAAGGTGAGCCGATGGGAGTGCATCCCACCAGAGGGCAGCAGATTGGCTGTGAGGTCCATGTCACTTTCTATGGTGAGGGGCGAACCACTGTCTCTTGATGTTGATCCCGGGGCAGGGAGGTTCAGGGACTTTGGAGAAGCTGGCCTCTCTTCCAGTTCACTGTTCCCAGGTCTGGTGAGAAAGATCCCAAGCCTCTGATGAATGGATGCCCTGGGAAAGGGCGAACATTCCTGACTATGCGCAGGGGAACTTGGCAAACACTCAACACCTTACTGTGGGAGCTGGAGGGTGACACCCCCATCTAGGACCCAGGCTTTTGAAGCTGCCTCCCACCTACCCACCTCCAGCAGCTCCCCTGAGTTGCAGCAGCGGGGAGAATACCCTGAGGAGCTACCAGGGATGGCTTCCTGGGAAACTGAACCCCTTTGTGCTCCTGGGGCCGGTCCCTCCCGGACTTCCTGAGGTCCAAAGTCTTAGAACTCACTGGCAGAAGTTGGATGGGGCATCTTGGTCTCCCAGGCTCAGCTCCTGAATCCCTGTGTAGGAGGGACACATGATGGGATCTCTAACTCCATGCGTACTCACTAAAGTCTTGGCCCAACTCTGAGAGCACTGGCCTGAGTTTGAGGCCACCTCCCCCAACCCTTCCAGAGGAACCCCGTCCCTGGCTGTCTCTCTCCCTCCCCTAGAAGAGGGGGTACCCTCCCTTGTCCTTTCCCCATCCCCTCCCCCAATTCCCCCAGGATGAGGAGGAGAGAGATTCCTGCTGTCCAAAGGAGGCACAGAGCTCTGAGAGGTAGTGTTCTTCTTACCTCTTTCCAGGGGGTGGTTCACCCTGGCCTCAGCCAGGAAACACTGCAGAGCAGGGGATGAAGGGGATTCCATCATCCTTGGCTTGCCTCCCTCTGGCTCTGCCCTGGCTATAGGGACAGGAGTGGAACTGGGGCTTGTGGAATGGGGGACCCACCTGGGCTGAGTTGGGCAGTGGAGGGAGGCAGGCCACCCCCACTGGCCCAGGGTTGAGGCCCCGCCAGGGTAGAAGAAACTTGTGTCAGGCAGAATGTCAGATGGAAACCGAAAGTAAGAGAAACGTTAGGACTGAGCATGTGCGGGCGGGGCCTGGCTGGGGGCCCAGACTTCTCCAGGTCAGGCCCCAGCCCCTCCTCCCCTGGAAAGCCAGAGGAAGGTGAGCCCCATAGCAGGGTTGCACCTGGGTGCTCCTTGCCCATCCCAAGCAGGGGCGAGTGGGAAGGGCCAGAGGCTCTCACTCTGGAGAGTGTCACTATGGCCATTTTATAGGCAGGGAGAATGAGGCTCCCGAGGGTGGATCTCCCTCCTCCCCAGATCCAGTCATCCAGTCACTATCTCGTGTCCTCATTGATGTAGAAATTCAGCAAGGGCAGGGGTCATTCTTTGGTGATGATGCAGTGATGTGAGGGAGGGGAGAGAGCTGTGATGTATGAAGGAGGTGCCTACACTCTCTCTATGGTTGGCATGGTCTGGCCACCACATGGCTCTGGGAGAGGCTTAGAGCCTTGATAGCTACTGAGTGAGGATCAGAAGGTGGACAGGGTAGAGAGGGTACCGCTTTTATTTTATCTTTCCTTCTCCTTACTGGGCATAGTGCCCATTTGTTCTCTTCAATCGCCTTTCTGACCCTCCTGAGGCTCATCTGAGACCAGAGGAGAGGGGCTTAAGATGGGAGAGGCTAGATCAAATAGCTCCCCAAGAATTTTGAGGGGGCAGTAGGAGGTAGAGGCAAGGGTTATTGAGTAGGTCCCCCTCTCCAGGGCTGCTGCTGTTGACTGTGCTGTTTAGGCTTCCCACACTGGGCAGTGGAAATTCCCTCTCTCTCTATCCCACAACATCAAGGGTCTCCTTAAAAGGCACTGGAATCAGTTGGGGGATCTCTGAGAAATGCCAGCCTTAAATGGTCTGGTCTGGTAGGCATGGGGGTAGAGTGGGGGCATGGAGTCTTTCCAACTAACACTTCCTGTTCTCATTTCCTGGGGAGGCTAGGAAAGAGAAGTTATATGCAGCATAAGAAAAGCACCCCAACTTAAGAATTGTGTGGGCTAATGCATCTGCTAGGGGACAAAACACACCAGATTCCCCCAGGCTCAAAAGATTGAGGTGGGAATGTATGGTAAGAAAGGGGGCACACTTGGCTGATCCCAGAACCCTATGTCAAAATACCTCTTTTGAGGCATACTTTATGGGTGATGTAGGCTGGGAGATTTCCTGGGTGTCCCTTTCCAATACCAACAGTCGCTACTCCAACTTGGGGTCTCTGGATCTCTTAAATCCCCCAGAAGCTGGGCTGCTATGGTCAGCCCCGTCAGAGAAATTGTTAATTGGAGGAAACACCCCATCCACTCCACAGCCTCCAAGGCAGGAGAGCTAAGGGTAACTTCTGCCCACCTGATAATGAGGACGAGGACTCTTCCTAGTCCCTTAACCACACTCAGGGATAGGGCAGGCAATTCCTGCTGGCCAGTAGGGGTCACTCTAAAGCCAGCTCAGAACCTGTCGACTCTTGCTAATGAGAAGGGTAGAGGAGAGAATGGAATGTACCGCACCCCCCCCAGTAGGTCAGAATTTCACAGGTGTGCTGGCCACTGCTGGGTGAAGCCCATCCTTGGTGGTGATGAGGGCAGGAGGTGAGGGGAATGGGTAGGATTCCCAACACAGATTGGTTGGGGGCAGAAAGTGGCAGTTTTATACTGGGGAATCAATCGAAGCCCCCTCAAAGGGTAGGCCTCACCAGGGCACCTGGTCAGCATTGGGGCCCAGAGCAGGGAGAACTTGCCCCCTCATAAAGGACCTTTTAAGGCTCTGGGTACTTTGATGAGCCGCATTTGACTGGTTAGCACTATGGTGTGAATGGGGCCACCTTTATGGAGGAGGGGTCCTTTTGTTCCTACCCTTTCATGCTCTCCCCCTTTGCCTCTTTCCAATAGATAGCTCAGGTTTCAGGGGCCCAAAGTTGAGGGGGTTGGAGGAGTCTGATTTACCATTATTCCTTGCTCCTGGGATTCTAGGTGCCCTGAGGCAAGGATGGTATGGCTGTCACCAAGCAAGATAGGGAAGAGAGAATGGTCTTTGGTCTTCTCTCCACTTCCCCCAGAGGGCAGGGGACAGCAGAAAAGGAGAGACCCCACAGGGGAGATCTTAGGGGAACTCCTTTACCTGGGATTCTCCATACTGAAAGGTTGTAAGCTCCAGGACTGAACTCAATTTAACAAAAATTCATTAAGGACTGCATTGACATTTATTGTTTTTATATTCTGCCATCTCCTCCTGCACAGCACTTCACACATAATGGGTACTCACATGTGTTGAATGAATTAATATCTGTTCATCTTGGCTAATGCTAAATATTTGTTGAGCTTTAAATAATCTTAGGTTGCATTAATATCAATCTAGAGTATTGTGTTCTGTTTTGGGTGCCAAAGTTTAGAAGGAATATGAATAGCCTAGACCCTATCAATGGGTAACCAGAATGGAACACTGCACATGGGACAGGTTCGGGAAGAACTATTCAAAGAATCGTTCATAAATATCTAAAAAAGGGAAGAGGTAACGGGGCTGAAAAAAACCCTGGCTTCTACATGAATAGGCCACAGAAGACCCAAACCTCACTTCCTTTTTTGACAATTGTTACTAAAATGGTCGGTCAGGATGCATTCAAATTTACTTATATTTCAGAAAAGCATGTGATAAAATCCCCCATGCTATCCTTAGCGACATGATAGAAGATATGTGGCCTAGAAAATAGTAACTAAATTAATGTGGAACCAGTTTAATGACCAGGTTAACTAAACTAGCAAAAAGAGATGTCTCCAGTGGGGGCCTTCAGGGATCTGTCCTTAGCCCAATGCCATTCAACTTGTATTGACGACCTGGATAAAAGCATGGATGGCAACCTCGTCCAAAGCATAAATATCAGGACACCAAAAGACCTTGCTAGGCCAGAATGATGGCCAAATCATAGCATTCTCTCTCCCAAACTACCCTGTGTTTATTCTGCATATCCATCATATGCACATTTGTACGTGTATACACATCTATGTACACAATCTATTCCCTCATAGAATGAGAATAGTGCTTTCATTTTTTTGTCCATCTCCAGTGCCTAGAGAGGGACACTTAATAAATGTCTGCTAATTAGTGGGTCAAAAGTAAGAAGAAAAAATTAAAAGGTAAACATAAAGCCCTACATGTGTTAAAAAAAAAAAATAAACAAAACACTGGCACCATGAACACAAGAGGGAGGAGGTTTGGCTAAACAAGGTCAAAAAAGACCAGAGGATTTTGGTGGACAGTGGGACACAGCAACCAAAAATCAAATGACATTTTAGGCTGCAGTAAGAGGCATGGTATCCAGAAAACAGGAAATGAACAGTCAACCGTGTTCTCCCCTCATCGGAGTACCTAGAACGCTGTGATTAGCCCTGGGTGACACATTTTGGAGATGACAGATTCTCTCTTTGGAGAGAATCGCAAGAAAAACGGGATGGGCAGCAATCTTAGTAACGAACTGCAACTTAGTAAAAACTGGCAATGTCTGGCCTAAGAAAACATTGAGGTGGGGGGGAACTGTACTAAAACAATGGCTGCCAGCTGATTATTGGAAGAAGTGTTGAATGAAAGGGACTTTTTTCTTTTCCCTCCTTGCTTGGTCCCAGAGGGTAAACTTAGAGCAGGCAGAAGTTGCAGTGGAAGATTTAGACTCAATGCAAGGGAAAATCTAGTTAGCTGTCCAAAAATGGAATGAGCTATCTTCACTCAATCCACAAGAATTTATTAAGCACCTACTATGTGCTAGGCACAAAACAATCCTTCCTTGCAAAAAGCTTACATTAGAATGGGGAGATAAGCAGTTCAGTACAAGGCAGCTTGGGAGGGAGGGCAGTAGCAGGACTAAGAAGGACTTTGTGAAGAAGCTGGTGCCTAGACAGTCTTAAGGAAGAGAAGGGTTCTATGCCTAACAATTAAACCTATCTAAGCATGGAACAGACTGCCCAACACTGGAGATGTTTTTAGATGGCAGATATAACAAAAAGAGTAGCTTACATCTCTATAGTACTTTAAGGTTTAAAAACAGCTTCACAATAACCCTGAGAGGGAGATGGTGCAAGTACTATTGTCTTCATTTTACAAACAGGGAAGCTGAGGCTAGGGATCCCATGACCAGTAAATGTCAGAGCCAACACTCAAAACTCAGGTCTTCTGAGTCCAAGACCAGGGTTCTTTCCACTCCCCCAACAACAATGCTCTGGAGTGCATGTGGCAGAGGGCATTCTCGAATCGAGTCCGGGGCCCTCTAGCTCTAGGATGCTATTTCAAGTTTCCCAATCACTCTCTAATCTCTTTGCCTGAACATTCATCGAGCACACCAAAGCCAGTTTTCTCCCAAAACATTTTACTTGTTATTCCATTGTTTAGAAAATGTGAATAGTTTCCCATTTTCTACTGCATCATCTCAGCTGATCCTCGTGGCCTTTTAAATATTCTTCACATTCCCCCAAATACGGCATCACGTGCTCATTTACAACCATGCCTTTCCTCCTGATGTTGCCCTGCCTACAACACCCCCCTCCCCACCCCTCCACCTAGAATCTTCAAAGCTCCCCCTCTTTTGGGGAGCTTTCCCTGATTACTAGTGCCCACAGTGGTGATCTCACCCTCCTCCCAGTGCACCTAGTTGATATAATGTGATTTAGCATTTCATTATTCTCTGTTTCTTATGTGTGTACATATGTCTTTTCTCCCTAACTAGGAACCCCCTAAGGTCAGGGAACCCACCTTCTCCTCTTTGTCTCCCTCACGGTTCCCCCCTCTCTGTCTCCCCCACAAAGGGCTGAGTATTCAACAGAGCAGATACATGCATTTTCATTGATGGGCTAGTGAGCTCTACCACACACTTGCCCTACCCCACTCCCCCTAAATCCTCCACCTCTTGGCTTTAGGAGTTCCAATTCCTGAGTCAATCTGGGCCGACTCAGTTCCTGTCTTAGCTGCTGGCATCCCAGACAAACTCCCTGAAGGTGACCACTCTCACCTATCTGGGAAACTAGGCCCAGAGAGGGAGCTGCAGGAGGCAGGGATCATTGACACCAGAGGACAGCATGTCAAACGGATTTCACCATTCTCTGTCTCACCTCACATTCTTCAGCCACAGCATACCTTCTAGCACTGGACCACCCCCTTCCTCTGCCCCTTCAGAAGCACAGGAAGCAAGTAAAAAAGAAGTAAGCAAACTGACCACTTGCTGTAATCATCACTCCCCTTGGCAAAAGACACTCTATCTTCCTAGTGCTTGAGTGGAAGTGGGCTGGGAGGTGGGACCCCTCTAGATATGCCTGGGTCCTCGGCACAGGAAGTGGGGCAGACTGCACGGCAGCCACCTGCTGCTTATTAAACTGGGGCAAAGAGAGGAGTGAAATATAAAAAAAAAAAACAACACAATCTAGTGCAACGGTGAGACACATACGCAGCCTGCTTCTGGGAGGGCCAATGGATGTATTTCCGGGGAAAAGCAACGGCTCATGAACAGTCAGAGCTCCCAGTCCAGTGTGCTAGAGCAGATGGTGATCACTCTCTGGTTCTTTAGCATGCAAAAGAAACCTGAAGGTGAGTAGGGGAAAAGGCCCCATGCAGGGGCGTGTGTGCATGCGTGTGTGTGGGTTCTCTAATCCCACTTTGGGGAATTATGCATGGCAGTTTAGAGGGGGCGGATCACCAGTCCCGCTCAGAGGGCTCACGGTATGGCAGGCCCAAAAGTCTGAAGACGTCCTTCTCTGTGGGGGTGGGCAATGCCCGACCTAGGCCCACCTTGACGCCACGGCTATTGCGCACGATGGCAGTGCTGAGTGCGTGCTCTGACAGGCTCATACCCTTTGTCTTGGCCAGAGCCCTCATGGAGCGGTTAAAGTGGGCAGAGCCAGTGAAATACAGTAAGGCGCAGGCAAACTCGCTATAGGGTACCACAATGATGTCCAAGCGCCGGTGGGGCTGACCAGTCCCTGGCAGTTGGCACACGCCCAGATACTTCTGTTGCTGCCCATTATCATCCTGGCTGACCAGGTCATCTGTCAGGAACCCTGTGCCAAGAAGGAGAGGGAATTAGGAGATGGCAAGAAAAGTCTAAAACCCACCCCTCCACTCTAATCTCTTTTTCTCTTGGGTTCCTAGAAATACAGATCATCAGGACCAGAAGCCCCTTTGAGACAACCCTGAGAAGGGCAATGACCTGTCCAAGGTCACACAGTTAATAAAACTCAGGACTTTAATGCAGGCCTCCTAATTCCCACCCAGGTCCCTTGGATCACATCATGCTCCCTCCCCAGTTGTTGCTCCCGTCTGAGGGAATGAGCTTCTCCATAGCTCTCTTCCTTTGGGCAACCTCCCACTCACTCCTGGAGCCCCAGGCCTGGGGTCATACCTCGCTGCCGAAGGGTATCCAGGAGCTGGCTGAGGATTCCCTTGTGGGATCGTCCATCTGGGTGAGTGACCAGCACATCCACATCCCCACATGTCGCCTTACCCCGGCGATACGAGCCACATGCCACAGAAAGCAGCCCGGGGTTGAGGGTATGAGCTGCCTCCCGGACCTGCAAGATGGGGAAAGAGAGGAACTGGTGATCAGGGGCTACCTCCAGGCCCCAAGCCAATACCTCTCTGGGCACGGGGTAGTCATAACCATCACTCCAGGTCCAAGAATGGACCCAGGAGGGCTGAGAGAATGGGGAACAGAAACTAAGTGCCCTGGGAAGCAAAGTGAAAGGGTAGGCAGGAAAGAGTAGGGAGAGGGGAAAGGTCATCTTCTACCTTTTATAAGAAAAGGATGACAACAGGTTGAAATAAGAGGAGAGATTGAGACTGGATGGCGGATAGAATTGACTAATAGGAAAGGGCCATTTCTAATCCTTTTATCTGCTGGCTCTTTCCCTTCAGCCTTCAAACATGCCCACATCTTCATCCTCAAAAGTCTTCACTTGATCTGACCATCCCCTGAAGCTCTTGTCTTGTAACTTTCCTCCCTTTCCTGGCCAAATTCCTAGAAAACAGCTGGGCATATCTCCCTGCAATTTGGCCCCTATCCTTGCTACAGAACTGCCACATTCTCTGCCGGGTTATCACTGCTCTCTTGACTGTTACATCCCAGTCCTCTTCAGGACCACTCTGAAACATCTGACGATGCTGACCACCCGCCCGCTAGTGCTGCAGACCCTCCTCCGCACATTCTTCTGATACCGTTCTACGGGATTCTCTTCTGGCTGGTCACACCAATCCTTTTTTGTCTTTTTGCAGGAGACAGAAAAAGTCCTGCTCTCTATACCCAGGTGCACCTTAGGGCTCTATCCTAAGCTCTCTCTTCTTTTCTCTCTCTATACTCCTCTGGTGATCTCATCAACCCCCATGGATTCAACTATCACCCCTATGCAAATGACTCTCAAATCTACATATCCATCCTCCATCTCTCTCTCTCTCTCTCCCTCTAGGTCCAATCTTTCATTTCCAACCACTTCCTGGACACCTCTACCCAAAGTCCCCATAGGCACCTGAAATTCAGTGAGTCCCAAACAGTACTCATCTTTCTCCTTCTGACTTTCTTATTTTTATCAAAGGCACCATCATTCTTCCTGTCATTCAGATTCAAACCCTTGAAGCCACCCTCAACTCTTATTCCTGTTCACTGCCCAAGGCCAATTGGCCGCCCAGTATTCTTGATTCCACCTCCTGGGCCCCTCTCACCTCAAGTCCTCTACTCTCTACTCCTCTCACAACCATCTGATCCAGGCCCTCATCATTTCTCACCTGGACTACAATGGCCTCCTAATCACTTCAAGTGTCTCCTCTCTCCAATCAGTTCTTCACAGAGAAGACAGATATTCTTGGAGTTCCACTCTGATCATGCCCCCTCTCTTGCTCAGCCAACCTCAGTGGTCCCCCATTGCCCTTAGGATTAAATACCAACTCCTGTCTGGCATTTAAAGCCCTTCACAATCTGGTTCCAATTTACTCCTCCTTGGACACTTAGGATTCAGCCAAACAGGCCTGTGTTAGCTTCCCCAGGGATCACACTTTATTTCTCACCCCCATGCTTTTGCACAGGCTGTGGCCGGAATGCTCTTCCTCTTCACCTCCACTTTTTGGAGGCCCTCATTCCCAGAGCCAACTTTTCAAGTAAACACTTTTCCTCATTCCCCCAATTGTTAATGCCTGCCACCAACACCATCACTATAGATTTTGTATGTACAAATACCGCATTTTCTTATCTACGAAAATATTATATCCTTCCAGTAGAACAAAAACTCCTTGACAGCATGGACTACCTACTTTTCAACTGGTATTCTCAGTATCTGGCATGGTGTCTGAAACACAGTAGGCCCTTAATAAATCCTTGCTGATTAACTGATTGATTTAGCACTGTAACATGTTACTAAGGCAGGTTGCAGAATCAATCTTCTAGAAATATTGAAGAGCAAGAGAGACTCCCCACCCCCCATATTTATGAATTTAAAGGTTAGAGGAGGATGTGTATGAAAGGGAGGTGGAGCCTGAGGATCAACAAGGTGCCCAGCACCCAGGGCCCAATCTTTGATGGAGGGAGGGAGGGAGAAGATCCACACCCTGCCTCCTTATGGATTGAAACAAGGGGTAATTTCCAACCCTAGGATTATCCTTCATTAAGGGGAGATAAACTCATTAGACTCCATCCCAAAGACACTAAGGTCTTTCTCATGCAGATGGACTTCCTACCTTCTCCCTTGGAAATGAAGATTTTTGTGGCCTCCCAATGGATAGAACCAGGACTCCTCAGCGGTCTCCAGACAAGAGGCATCCACTAATCCCTTAATTCCCTTCTTGGGCCTATCCTAAGGGAAGGGAGGAGGGGCCTGGGACGCTGTAATTCTATCAAAAGGCTTCTGAACCCGACCCAAAGCTTCTGTCTGTTCAAACAGGGAAGAGAAGTGCTTCTGATCTAATTCAAATTGGGGGGTGGGGGTGGGAGAGTATATTCTTTATGCCTGGGCACCGTGAATGAGTGACAACGTCAGCACGAATGGTACTGCCACCATGATGGATGGACACAGGGACAGCACAAACTAATCCTGGTGCCTGGCCCCAGGGGTCTCCCCATCCTCACTCCATGCCCCACATTGTCCCTCTTGTCTCCCACAACGATTGTAGTGACCATCCTGTCCTGCCTTAATGGGCTTTTCAGATGTTCAGGCTCTGGCAGTCAAAGGGAAAAAGGCTTGTGGATGAGGGGAAGGAAGACAAATTCAATTCAGTTTAAAAAATGGTTAAGTGTCTATTATGTTCAAGACTGTACCCATTTATATTCAACCAGAGGCAGCACTGCCAGGTCACCCTAACCTCACCCTGCCACTAAATAACTACCCCAGCAACCAGTCTGTCCCAAATCAACCTCCAGCCTAACCTCAAACATAATCCAATGTCAGACACAACCCTACAGTAGCCTTAACCTCAAAGGCATTATTATCCAGTACAAAGAGGAAGCCTGGCCTGGGACACTCAGGCCGTGGCCCACAGCTATTCGGTCTTTCACTTTGGGATACTTCACCTCGGAGCCTCAGGGCCTTCTTCTAAAAGCGAGGAGAGTAAATCAAACGGCTAACGTCAATCTTCACCCAACTCTAAACTAACCCTCATCTTAATACAAATCTTAAGCCTCAGTCCCTGGAAGAAGACCTGGAAAGGAGACCAGTGGCTCTGAAGGTAGCCACTCTGCCCAGAAGCAGTGTGGGGCCACCATCCTTCCCCTAGTCAGCCCCTCCTACCTCCATCACTGTTCTCTAGTGCTCCCTTTGACTCTGAAAATAATGTGGATGCTTCCCATTTGGGGGCTTTAGGGAAGCCAAAAAGCCAGCTCTGTTCCTTTCACTCTCACCTTTAGGCCTTTCCTGTCTGCCAGACTCTCGCTTCCCAGACTCCTTGGCCAGACCATCCTAGGCTCAGTGGGTGAGGAAGGTGGAGGACACATGTCCTACTTTGTGAATTTCATTTGAAAATCCTTTCCCTTTCCTCCCCATCCCTCCTTTTCCCAACTTGGGGTTTCTGCTCACAGTCTGCTCAATCTCTGAAGCTTCTTCCCTGGGTATGCGCTTGAGGAAGTCCTCATAATGCTTCAGGCCAATGGCCTGCAGAGTAGTCAGGGTGGCCCGATTCTGAATGTCCTCCAGAGTCCGGAAGCCCTGAAAAAGCCAGCCACACAGTAGGGGGTAGTAAAGTTCTAGGACCCAGTAACACTCAGAGCCACCACTTGTAGACACTAGTTCCTTGTTACAGGGGCCCCAGCGATCTCCCCAGTCTCAGGGGAAGGACTGATGGGAGATCATCCCTAGGACAACAGGGTCAATGCCCACAGAGAACCAGGAAAAGTGGAATCTTTTCTTTCTCAGGAAGGAAATAACAGAAAGTATCTTGAGCTCAAGGGACAGTTCTGAGAAGTGAGGAAGGGGACAAAGTAGGAGGAGCAGGTTCAAATAAGCTTTGGCCTCCCTCTGAGAAAGAGGCTATCTGGATTTTACGTTCCCAACAAAGGGTGGATCTGAAATGCAACTAAATCAAATGAGGTCACCCACAAAGAGCTCAGTATCAGTGGAGGGAACTGCTGTAGTAATGGTGGGGAGGGAGGGCTGGGGCAGAGGAGTGACCTGCTGGTACCACATCTGGGCAGTCTTGATTCCAACTCCCCAGATATTAGAGAAGAGCTCTAGAACAGGGACACTGTCACTGATATGGTCCAGTTTCCGAAGATGACCGCTTTCTACAATCTCCATGATCTTCTCTGCCATGCTCTTTCCAATCCCTGGGATGCCACAGGCTTCCTATGGAATGTGAACAGTGACACAAGAAGTATGATAGAAGAGATGTGAGGGACGCCAATCAACAAGCTAGGACTGGGCCAGCGTGGGGAAGCTCAAGACGAGGTAAGGGCAACTTCAGGATGGTAGAAAGCTGCATGATTACGTAAGCTCACAGCCAGAGATAGGGCCAGGCCAGAGTTGAAAATAGGGTGATAATCCTAAGGACGAGGAAGGCTTCAGACACAGGTGCAGAAGAAATCAAAGGTGAACGGCCAGGATTCTCCTACCACCTTAGGTCAGGCCCTCATCTCCTCTCACCCAGACTATTGCAATGACTGTCCTCTCTCACCCCACCAGTCCATCATATGTCCCATTGCCAAAATAACTGTCCTTGAATGCATGACTTCCCACTCAACCAACGCCACTGGCTTCTAGTTGTCTCCATCAAATATAAGACTCTCTGTTAAACTTTGAAAGCCCTCCACACCCCAGCCCTGGCCCCTCTTTCCAGTCCCACCACCATCGCTTCCCTTCCCACACTTTGCCAATCTGGCCAACATGGCCTTTGCCCTGCTCCTCACACCTGACAGCACACCCCCCTTCTCTGTGCTCTTGCTCCAGCCATGCCCCATCCATCCCCTATGCCTGGAATGCCCTCCCTCCTTTCTCAGCTGAGGGAGTCCCTCTCTGCCTTTCAAATGCAGCCCAAGCACCAGCTTCTTCATGAAGCCCTTCCTGCTCCCCCCCCACCCCTGGGGCCCTCCCTCCCAAACTACTTTGTACTCAACTACATGGCATGTTTTTACTTATTAACTCTGTGGTTTTGCTGTATTTTTACATGTATTTTTTGTCTTTTCTCCTTAGAATATAAGCTTCTTACAAGCAGAAGTTGTTTTATACTTTGTGTTAGTATCCCAGGTAAGCCCCGCAGGTGCCAAATATTCGTGGAGTGACTGTCTCCTTGCCGGTCGAAGACTTCTACACCCCCCCCTTTCTGAAGCCCTAATCAGAATTGGGTTGCTTCTCTTCCCTCAGAAGGAGGGCTCTCATCCTTCAGATGAGCATTCCTTGAAGGTGGGAGCCATAATTCCTGCTCTGAGGCATTCAGGACTCCTACCTGGTAGGAGGTGATAGGCTTGTGAAAGCTCTTGAGGGCACTGATAGCCTTAGAGTAGCTCAGTGACCGCCACCTGTCCCCTTGGACAGCATAGGCTTTGGCCAGCACTTCCAGCTTCTCTGTAACGTGAGGATTGTGGTTGGTCATTTTTTGGCTCGAAGGCTGAGCACACACCCACTTATCACTGAGGGCGGGGGCCAGGCTGGGCTCAGCGTCTCCCTCAGGGGTACTTGGGTAGCAGCCGGTGATCAGGGCCTCCAGGTCAGCTGGGGTAACCTGTACTCCCTCCTCATCACTGCATTCATCAGAAGAGTCAGGCTTTAAATAGAGAGAGCACACATAATTAATCCCGGCCCTCCCTCTCCTTCCTTTCCCTCTAACTAGTGGCTCCAAGGGCAGAGGCTATCACTGCTCCCTTAGTTCGGGATTTTCCTGGGCTTGGGAATTGTCTATTCTCTCTGATATCAGGGTTCTTCCATCATATTGGGGACTCCAAGAAGGCAAGGACCAACACTTCCCTCCATCTGAGAGGGAGCTCCCTAAGGAAGGGGCTATGTCTCTTCCTTCTTCCCATAGCACCCAGCCCGGGCCTCTGCCCCAGGACACTGGTGAGGTGGTACGTGACTGCTGACTGGATGCTGGGGAAGGGCCTCGCAGAACAGCAAGCCCTGATGCTCCATTTGGATGGAACTTTCCAGACTATCTTTAGGCCTTAACATTTGGGCATTGACTAGTTTCCTGAAGGTCTCCCAGTTTCCTACAGCCCGTGGAGGAAACAAGGGGGTTTGGACGTGCACCTGACCTGTGGCTGGGTGCTCGGCTTTGAGTGTGGCTCCTGGGGTGGGACAAAGGGAGCAGCAGAAGGAAGCCCTGCCTGGGCTGAAGTTCCAGAGGACCCTGGCTGGGAAGACGCAACCCGAATGTCTGCCTTGTCCGGGTACCTGCAGGGAGAGGGACAGAGCAACGCACTGAGCCACCACAGTTCTTATTCCCAGACTGCACTGAGACCTTTCCTGCCCTGGGCCTTTGTCTGACCATTTTTCTGGGGAGGATAAAGAAATTTGACTTCTTTAAGAATTAGCAAAAAACCTTGGGTGAGTGGCACCTTTGGTGGTTCATCTGAGGTCCATTCAGTGGGGCATTTGCTACAACAAATGAAAAGACAAAGCACTGAGGCGAGGCTCACCTGTCAGGGATGAAGATGTGGAATCCAGCAGTGCCCACCAGCTTCTGCTCTTGCAAGCACTGGCTCAGCCAAGCTGACTTCACCATTTGGACCCCGAGGGGCAGCTGGGACACTTTCAGGAGGCGGAGGGCTCGCTCATAGTCTACAGCTTCATCCACCACAATGTGCGTGATCCCTGGGGCCTGAGGGGAGCAGATTCGGCCCCCATGCTGGAGGATTTGCCTCTCAAAGATCTCTGCCCGGGCTCGACCAATGCCCGCGGGTAACACATGGACTTGCAGTGGGCTCAGCCACTCTGCATAAGAACCATCCCAGTTCTCATCATCATCTGCCCTCTCTCTTCTCCATCTCCAACTCAAAGCATGGATCAGAGAGTGAGCAAGGTACAGCGGAAAAAGTGTTGGACATGGAGTAAGGTAAGATTTGCTTCATACGAACTAGCTGTGTAAGAAGTCACTTACCTTTCTGATCCTGTTTCCTCACCTATAAAATGGGAAGGATATTATTCCTCTACCTATGTAACAGCGTTGGTTGTTATTATGGGAAAATTCCCTCTTCTTTTTCCTCCTTCCATCCCTCCTCTCCCTGAAACTGCAGCTCAGGGCAGCCTCCTCCAGAAGGCCTTCTCATCCATTTTCAAAATGCCAGTGTAATCCTGTCTCTGAACCCTTCTATACTTTATCAGAAAGAGCCATTGACCTTGTCTTCACTTAGGAGTCTCCCTTTCCAAAGGTCTCAGTTCAGAGCTCTGCTCCTCAAATCCTTTCTAGGTCTCTGATGGGTCCCACTTACATCAGCTTGGGCAAGACAGCCTAAATGAATCCAGGACAAGGTTTTGGGGGCAATGGGGTACAAAATACTAATATGCTCTAGTGGACAAGTTGGAAAGCTGGGCTTCTTTGGAAGGCTAATTCTAGCTACATTCAGCGTAGAGGAGGGGGGTTTGGGAGAGAGAGATAGGGAAGAGAGCTCACCTCTACCTTCTTCTATTTCTTCCTTCTTAGAAATCTGTAAGAGTCCGCCCCTGTCTGAGTCAGCTCTCATTTTCTTCCGTTTGGGAAAGGCCTTCAAGATCCCTCGAGGCTCCATGGCTAGGGCGGAGCTTGGCTCCTTCTCTCTAAGGATAAATTAAGACAGAAGAGTGAAGAAGGCCAAGGATCTCTTCTCTTCTGCCCCAGAGAAGTCAGGCTTAAGGGAGCTGTCCCAAGTCCTACCCAGGAATTAGAAATAAACTAGGCCAGGGGTGGGGAACCTGAGGCCTGAAGGCTACATGTGGCCCTCTAGGTCTTCAAGTGTGGCCTTTTGAAAAAATCCTTTTATTAAGGGGATTTGTTCTATGAAGTTTGGATTCAGTAAAAGTGCCACACTTGAAGACCTAGATGGCCACATCTAGCCTCAAGGCCGAAGATTCCCCACCTCTGAACCAGGCTTTAGCCCCAGCTGAGTGACACAGATTTATTCTCTCGTCTCAGGAGCAAGTTGGGACCACTGGTTTGTTCTTGCCGAGAGAAGAATGTGACCTATCCCCTAGGGAACTTATACCAACCAAGCAGGTATGTGAAGATAGGTGATTCAGTTAGGAAAATGAATGCATAGAGCAAGGATCTAACAGTCTCTGTATAGCACCAAGAGGACAAAGTTTAGAGCAGCGACCAGAATTCACAAGGTAGAATATAAAGATTAAAAAAAAAAAGACCTTGTTTTTTCATTTGGAATAGGAGGATGTAGGTTCAAATTTCAGTTCTGCACTTAGTACCATTTTGACCTTGGATGGGTCATCTTTGGACCCCGGTTTCCATACTGTTCCAATGAAGGAGATGGACCTCTGAAGCCCTTTCCAGTTTTGAATTCATGATCATACGACAGTAATACAAGAGTCATGTAATACCAGGCAGATATCATGTGATAGGAGAAACAAGAAATCCAGGCAAAGTGCTCCAGGACAACCTGAGTGGCAAGAAAACACTTTCAGCTTTGTGCTGGGAAAAACTGCAGAGATTTGGGAGGAAGAGTTTGGATAGCTCAGTGATGCTGATCTCTATTCTGATGCTGGGGAAGGAACAGCTCCCAGGGCCTGAGAAATCCTGGAGATGAAGGATCAGGAAGGAGCATCCTTACTGAGTAGGAGCATCCTTAAAGAGAGAGAGTGAGAATGAGAGACAGATACAAAGACAACATTTCCTTCCGAAGGAGGGGCAGAAAAACTATACAGATTGGATTGGGATTGCACGGCCTTCCTGGGTTAGGGAAGAAGTTTCAGTCCTCCCTCAATCTGGGGTCTCCCTGAGGTTGGGGGCTCTCTCCCTTCCCTGAAAGCACTGTCCACTCATTAAACTGGGGGGTCCCATTAGTCAGGACCCATGAGAGTCTTTCCACCTGGGCGCTCTCCTAGGTGGGTTGCTCTGACTGCTGGGAGGTCTGGCATATTTATTTTCATGACCCCCACCCCTAGCAGGCCTCACCGCCCAGGTGGCACGTGGTGCCATGGACAAAGCGCTGGGTCTTCTTGCCATCAGGAAGCCCTGAGTTCAAATACAGCCTCAGACACTTCCTAGCTGTGTGGCTCTGGGCAAGGCACCTTACCTCCACCTGCCTCAGTTTCCTCATCTGTGAATTGGGGATATTTGATTATCCTCATTAGGATCACACCTACCTCCCAGGGTTGTTGTGAGGACCAGATGACATAATATGTACCAGGCGTTTGGCACAGTGCCTGGCACACAGTAGGCAATTAATAAATCCTTCCTTCCTGGGGGGGGGGGGACGCGGTGCCCGGATAGCGGGCCGCCCCGGGAGGCAATCGGGGTGTCAGCCCCTGACAGCAGCCCGCACCGGGCCGGGACCCGGGAACCACGTGGGGGCACTGACCCCCGAGGTCGCACAAACCCCACCTAGAGGCGGGAATCTCTCGGTTCCGGCAGGGGCGGCCTCTGCGGGCCTGCCCACCCCCGACGCCCCCAGGAAGCCGGGCGTTTCCCGAGGCCCAGCCTCTTTAGACGCCCCACCCTACAGACTGCACAAGGCCAGGCAGGGAGAGGGCACCCCATTTGGCAGGACGTCTTCCGGGTCACCCGGAAGCGGTTCTTGGCGGCGGTTGCCATGGCATCGCCGGGTCGCGCGGCCCTCGGAAGGGAAGATGGCGGTGCCGGGCTGGCTGGAGAGATTGCGGGCGGCGGAGAAGACGGCCCTGTTGCAGGACGGTAACACGGGGACAGCCTTGCAGATTCCTCGCCCTCCCCACCGCGGTCGGAGGGGTCCGGCCCTGAACCCCCCGGGAGGGGGGTCTGCCCCCGGCTCCTCCCCCTGACCTCCGTTTCCCCGCCGAGGAGCGGGCCAGGCCGGCGGGGTGCGGTGGGGGAAGAGGCCGGGAACCTGGGGGTGGCGAGGGCTCCCGGCCCCATCTTGGTCAGCGTCAGGAAGGCGGTTGCGGGCGCGGTTGTCTGCCCGCGGGTCACACCTGCCCTGCTCTGGAGGAGCTTACGGTCGGTTAGGGGACGGGCAGGGATTCGAGGTCCAGAAGACCGGGGTTCAAGTCCTACCCGCTTCTGCCATTTACTCTTTGGGTGACCTCAGAGCTACCCAACCCCTCTGGGTGCCCGTTTCTTATCTGTGACATAAGGGGAGTGGACTAGATGGCCCCCCAGTCCTACACCCAAGTCTTTGCTCCAAATGGTATGTGAGAGTGAGATGCGGACCAAGGACAGGTCTGGGGGAAGCCCATCTTTGCTTTTCCTCCCCCTCCTGCTGCATTGTTTATCTCCTCTGAGCTCCCCAACGGACAGGGGAGAGGAGAGACCGTAGGATTGGCCACTACACCCAGTTTGGTTGTTGTAATGTTCAGAGGATGCTCAGACTGGTGGCCAAAAAAAAAAAAAATGGCTTTTGGTTCTTTGAAGAGTTGTTTTCTAGGTGTAGTCAGCCCAGAATTTCAGCCTTTCTCTTACCAGGGAAAACCCCGATAAAATTTCTTAGTTTAGGTTAAGGCCCTTCATAATCTTAATTCCAAACTGCCTTTCTAGCTTTGATTTGAGTCTCCTTCTCACACACACACACACACACACACACACACACACACACACACACACAC